AAAACCAAGGATGGGGCACTATTCCTTCTTCTGATACCAATGATGGGGCACTATTCATCCCACTGACACTAATGATGGGGCACTATTTCTCCCCCTGACACCAGTGATGGGCCACTATTCCTCCCCCTGATACCAGTGATGGGAAATTATTCCTCCCACTGACACCAATGATGAGGCGCTATTCCTCCCACTGACACCAATGATGGGACACTATTCTTTCCACTGACACCAATGATGAGGCACTATTCCTCCCACTAACACCAATGATGGGGCACTATTCCTCCCCTGACACCAAAGATGGAGCACTATTCCTCCCACTGTCACCAATTATGGGGCACTATTCCTCCCCCTGACACCAATCATGGGGCACTGTTCCTCCCACTAATAGCAATGACTGGACACTATTCCTCCTTCCACTGACTACAAGCACTATGTCATTTTTTTTACTCCTACTGATGCTGGGACATTTTCTGCTCCCACTGGCCACCTCGGCCCTCCTAAAGTCTGAGTGACAGTAAACTGGCCCTTTGTTTAGAAAGTTTGGAGACCCCTGGTCTAGAAGATACCCCCTGAGGATCTCCCTTGCATAGAAGAAATGTGCAGGGTGGGGGCTAGAGGCCTAAGGCATCATCATACTTGCTGGTGCACCACAGTGGTGTTTTTGAGCTTTTATTACTCTGGGATGCTTATGAGTATATTTGCATGAAATAAATTAGCAATATTACTCTATGGTCCTTTGTATTTTCTCCTGAATGTTACTGTGGGGAATTTCGCTTTCTGGACAGCCAGTGGAGAACCCGGTGGGCGTGGAGGTTGTTAACATACCCTGGTGTCATTTATATTTGATGTATCCTGCGCTATTAATCTTTTATAATCTGGAGATCATGGTTATCCAGTCATGGAATTTCATATACCTATATTCAAGATGGTTTGAGACCGTGAAGTTTTACTTTCAGGAGATCTACACTGGCCCCCTAGTGGAGCCCTGAAATATTCCTTTGGAAGTTGACTTTCATTTCTATTACAGTACTGTTTGTCTTGTGTTGAATATGGTTTATTTTTTTCTATATTGGTGATTTTATCTATTGATGTTGATATTATTTATATCATTTTTACTGTTTGATTTCATTCTGACTTTTATGGTCAGAGGTTTTGCACACTCTTTTTGTTTATTATTTTGTTTTTCCCTGTTTCCGACACACAGTGTGCAGTATTATCTCTTAGCACAGAGCGCATAAATACTTGGTGGTTTATTTGTGTTAATGTAAAAAATGTGGCAATTTATGACTACGCTATTTACTTTATCACTAATAACAAACCATATAAAGCATAAAAGGTACTGTCTTACAGGATCATACAGTGATTTCATTTATTAAAACAGCCAAACTTTGTAATTAATAACATTTCTTTATTTTTATAGAGCATTTTGTGACCTTCTGGACTGTTTTCAAAATGTATAGATTAAACCTTTGCATGTCATCAAAATTCATGCGTACTACTTGTTTAATAAGTAGTCAGATTATTGCCTTGCCACGTATATTTCATTTTAAATTATGATATTTCTGAATGATGTTGATCGATGTATATGTATTCAAATGTATTCAATGTGACGGTACTGATGCATAATCTACATTTAAGAAAACGTCTAGTGCCAGACTGTGCACTCTTATCAAGCACTAGGTGGTGCACTTGTGTTACAGTTGTAGAAAAAACCTTCTAGCTTGACACAATTATGGTTCAAAAATATAGCCCATATATACAGTAAAAATAACATGAGATTGAAGTATGATGAAATCCTCAATCACATCTGTATGGTTCCTTTAAAATCACTAGATGTTTAAAGAAACCATAACATTTAAATCATCTAGTCATACATGAACCTCTGGACAGGTATCGGGATGCCGCACGTGATGCCAAAGTTACAACACCGATAATGTGCTTTAAACCCATGTATATAAAGATATTCCATTAAAAAAAACCTCTTGTGCAATCAGTGATATCAAATTGTTTGCATCACTTCTCTTGTATATGTATGTGCCTATAGTTTTGTCGCTGCTGACTCAATTAAGTGATCTGCACACCTTCCCTGATACGTCCAGTATATATTATACAGTGCAGCGCAATAAAGCTTATTATAGTGTACACAGTGTTAGATTGGACTAAACATCAATCAAACAAACAATAAAGAATTCACAAAAAATATTAACCTGCGTGCTGGAATTTTTTTCTGAATATATGTAAAAAATGATTACTATTAGATATCAGCTTGCGTGTTTCCAAAAACTTTCTTTGTGCGCACTTTTCACCTAAAAAAACATTATTCCTACATGCTGGAAAGTCTTTCTCATTACATAATATCACATATATAGTGAAAAAAAATCCAAATTTAAAACAATATCACTTTGCATATTTGTTAAAGCTGAACTCCAGTTATGATCTTAATTGCATACTTACATTGGTCTAACTTGGATCAATGTAAGTATGCATCTCTCATACCCGAGGGACCACTGTGTGGAAGCTGAAAATCATTATAATAGTCAGTTCTACTACAGTGATAGCCACAATCTTTTGGGTTCTGTGTTGAGTGGATGCCTCTTTGCACACTGAACATAGGGGGTCAATTGCTGAACACAGGACTTGGGAGATTGCAGTGATCAATGTCATAGCACCGACTAAGTAATTGTCAGCTTCCCTAGTGGAACCTTAATAATGAGATATGTACACACAGCGGGGAGATTTACTAAAACATGGGCAGCACAGTGGCTAAATGGTTAGTACTTCCTCTTGGCAGTACTATTGTCGTTGGTTGGAATCCCAACCACAGCACCACCTGTCTGGAGTTTGCATGTTCACTCTGTGCCTGCGTGGCTTTCCTCCCACACTCCAAAGACATGCTGGTAGCAGAGGCGGACTGACCATTCGAGAATTTGGGCACTGCCTGAGGGCCCGGGGTCAGTCGGGGGCCCCATGAAATGCCCCTGGTATCTTTTATAGGCTTTTTTGAGTGTGGGCAAGGACACAGGGGCCCCATGATCCCCTATTTTCCGGGGGCCCCATGAGTTGTCAGTCCGCCTCTGGCTGGTAGGTTAATCGGATCCTGTCTAAATTGGCCCTAGTATGTGTATGTATGAATGTGAGTTAGAGACCTTAGATTGTACGCCCCTTGAGGGTTAGGGACTGATGTGAATGTGCAATATATGTATATGTAATATATGCGTAAATTGACAGCACTATATAAGTACCTGAAATAATTAAATAAAACTTGAGTTTCTAACTTCAGCTTGTTCAGTTAAGCTTTGACAATAAAACCTGGAAACTGATTGGTTTCTGTGCAGAGCTGCACCAGATTTTGCACTCCGGTTTTAGTAAATCCCCCCCAGTGCGTATGCCAATTTGGGATTTTATGAAACACACCCTGGGTTGGTGGACTCTTCTTTTTAAAGATGTTTTTATTATTACTTGCATAATAATACAAATATGGATTTTTTAAATATATTGTATTTGTGGCTTTATTGAATCTACCTGCTTCTGCTTCATTTATTTGTGGATTTGTGATTTCTCATTGTTTGAATGTTCCTCCAACAGTCATCAGATACCAGTTATCAAGGTGACAGCTGGAAAAAAAAAAAGCTCTGAATCTCTACCAAGATGTCTGCCTCCACACAGACACACATTGCAGGACAGGGTATGGTAAGTCAATGATTGGATATGATCTGCTACAGGGAGATCCTAGACAATGTTGATGGCTAGTAATTTGTCCTCTAAAGTGAACAATAAACTACACAAAGGGGCACCAACCCAAATTAATATAACTACTATCAGGGGAAAGCAGCCCATCAAACTGTATTAACACTCTATAAGGACCATAATTCACACTATAGAAACGCAGTCCAGATGCATGTCTGCATGCATGTGTTTGACATGTTTTTGGCATGTCCTGGTGCATTTTTGATGCATTTTGGATGCATTCTGGTGCATTTTTTAAGCTTTCCAGTTAATTTTTTCCCCTCTCTTTTTCCTTTCTCTGGACTGCATTTCTATAGTGTGAACCGGCACTTCAATTAAATAACAAATCAAGGGCGTTGTTCCTAGTATTATTTATGCTTACAAAAAACACAGAGCATAATTTAAAATTTATGTGTAGGACCAAGGGACGTATTTGTCCCATGTTTTTAATTGCCTGTATCATCTGATTAAGAACTTAAAATCCTTTTTTTTTTGGTTTGAGTCAAAATATTAGTTCTTATCAACAAATGGATCTAACTCTTTGACAATTATTTCATGAAATGACTTAGTTACATCAACTGAAGTGTATGAACTTTAAAAACAAAAAATTTATTATTTTGGCGTTCCGTAATCTTATGGTCCTCAAAGGGTTAATCTCACACCATGATCATGTGAATAACAGAAATAAAATGTCCATTCAACATAAATAGTCCATACAGTGATTAAATGAATATGACTCTCCTCTACTGTGTGCCCCAAACCAGTGAAGATTAAAGAGAATCCAATATTCCTCCACCACGTGCGGTAAGATTGGCAACTTACCAGATGCCCACCATTGTGACCATAATTTATATCACCAAAAGTGATGTCATCAGATTGGAAAGCAGTTGTTTTTAGAGGTTAAAATATCCATTCAGTCTGGGCTTCAGTTTCATATAATGTGATTCAGAGGTGCGTTCGCTCCATTAAGCGTTGACTTTAAAACAGGAATCACCTTTAAAATCCAATCCACCTTAGCAGAGATTTCTTTAATCGCCTCCCGCCTGCCATATAAGGAAATTATGGGTGCAAGGCGGTTCTCTGCCACATATCAGTGCCTACCAGAGCACATCAATGCCACATATCAGTGCCCATCTGAGCTGCCTTTCAGTGCCAGCTATCAGTGCCAGTCAGTGGCAGCTATCAGTGCCAGTCAATGCCGCCTATTATTGCTGCCGCCTATCAGTGCCTGTCAGTACCACCTCAGAGTTCCAGTCAGTGCCAGTCAGTGCCGCCTATCAGTGCCAGTCAGTGCTGCCTATCAGTGCCGCCTACCAGTGCCATATATAAGTACTGCCTTTCAGTGCCCATCATGTCTGTGAATGCCCACCAGTGATGCCTGTAAATGCCCATCAGTGCCACCTACCAGTGCCTCCTCATCAGTGCCCATCAGTGTCACCTATCAGTGCCCATAAGTGCAGCCTATCAGTGCCCATCACTGCAGCCTCATTAGCGCACATCAGTGAAGGAGAAAAATTACAACATTTTATAACAGAAACTAAGAAAAAAATTTTTTTTTTTCAAAATTTTCAGTTGTTTTTGGTTTTGTTTATAAAAAAAAACCCCAGAGGTTATTAAATACCACCAAAAGAAAGCTCTATCTGTCTCAAAAAAATTATAAAACTGACATATGGGTACAGTGTTGTATGACCGCTCAATTGTCATTGAAAGTGTGACAGCGCTGAAAGCTGAAAATTGGCGTAGTGCTATTTTAAACAACGTGAAACACAAATACATATGAAACAGTTGCATTACCCACTTCAAGAGCAGGCCTATTTTTTTGGTTAGTGAAGGAGCAGCAGGAGACTGTCAGTCTTTCTATTCCCTGCACACTCTAATCTTCTTGCCTACTAGCATGTATTAGTAATATCAGCATATTTACTTACAGCACACTTGATTGGCTCATATAGTTTCTCCTCCCTCTCCCAGTCTGATTGCTGCTGTATAGGGATTTGCAAAAGGCTAAAGCCTCATGTACACATGAACTCACTTAGTTGTTAAACTCTCCTGGTAGCAAAAAGTTAAATGCAGCAAAAACATGTGTTTTTACATTTACATTTGTAATACATTTACCCACGTTCACCTGCGTTTATCGCTTGGACGTTTATTCATTTGAAAGCTCTCTAGCAATACACACTAAACTGAGCATGTGCATGTGGCTACGAGTTCCGTCTGTCTTATCTCAGGTCGACATTTGAACAAGAGGAAGGACAGAGAAAACAGGATCAGACTGCCTTTTTACACAATGCAGAGGATTAATCCTTTAGGTTCCACAGTGAGTATAACAAGCATGCTTTACTGCATATACAGACTGATTTTACTGTTGTGGGTTTAGTAACACTTTAAACCCAAAAGCAAACCTCTTATTTATTGCAGCTCACCAATTCTTAGATGTGATGGCTGCATTAGTTTTCTTTTTTAGGCTTTCTTTCCTTTACTTTTACCTTGTGATCTGGCTAGTAATTCTGTCGTTTTTCAAAAAAGCAAACTGTCCTGCAGATGTAGCAGTTAGAAGGTTGAGACATAGTTACATAGTATGGCTGAAGAAAGACAAAAGTCCATCTAGTTTCCAAATGGTCAGTCCGCCCCTGAGTTCAACCATAAAAAAAAAAAACAGTTATAATCCTATACCCACAGTTGATCCAGAGGAAGGTAAAAGACCCAGCAAAGCACGATCCAATTTGCTCCTGCAGGGGAAAAAATTCCTTCCTGATCCCCCGAGAGGCAATTGGATATTCCCTGGATCACCTTTACCTATAAATGTTAGTATCCAGTCAGGGGCGGACTGACAACTCATGGGGCACCCAGGCAATAGGGGATCATGGGGCCCCAGTGTCCTTTCCCACACTCAAAGCACACCTAAAAAGCCTATAAAAGGTACCAGGGGCATTTCATGGGGCCTCCTACTGACCCCGGGCCCACGGGCAGTGCCCGAGTGTTCGAATGGTCAGTCCACCCCTGTATCCAGTTATATTCTGTGTATCTAGGAAAGAATCCAGGCCTTCTTTTAAAACAATCGACTGAGCTGGCTAGAACCAACTCTTGGGGGAGTCTATTCCACATTTTCTCAGATCTTACTGACAAACCGTTTACTACTGACAAGGGTTCTTACAATGATCAGTTTTTATTTATTTACTTATGTAAATACTTTATCCCAAAAGGAAAAAAAAATAACTGCTTGTAAAGTGTCAGCATTAGTTCAGCCTCAATTTGTTAGTGTATCTAAATCTATTAGTACATCTAACAATCCCCTCTGCCCAGGTTACCAATGCTGCTGTCCAGAGGTGCCTCCTGTGCTCCTTCATCCAGAGTGGGAGCACTCTAGTACAGAAGGTGTACTACTAGCAAGAACACCAGGTGAAAACAGAGGAGAGAAAGTCTAAAAATAAAAGAAAAAGAAAACGAATACAGCCACCACATCTAATGGTTTTGGTTTTGAGTATAATACTGCTTTTTTTACTTGCCCTGAGTTCAGCTTTGAGAATGGAGTTTCAGAATATTCTAAGTGCTTTTTCTTGGCTCATTATCTTTAAATTGGACATTCATAGGCTGTAGCCCTTCAGCTTTTCCACACCTACACGTTTCAGAAATGTGCCCTGCCAGGTATGCCTGATATAAGTGTAACACCTTAGATCTAACCATCATACTAGGCTATGATTAAATGTTAAGACACCATTTCATAAAAATGTCACCTTGTTAAACAGGGCACTGTGACAAACATTCTAATTAATACACATGACTTTATCTTGACTTACTGCCTGGTACTCTCATTTCAACTGGGTCACTGTTCATTTTAGTCGCCTTTTATCAATAAGCTTGTGATTAGTCTTTCAGGAGCAAATCTTAAGAAAACACTTTAATGAAAGAGTAATGTGTTTTTGATATTTGTGTCTTATAAAATAGTTCCCTCAATTCGTCCTGTCAGTTCAGAGCGAGGCTTGATCCTATTTGATCAGTGTCACGTGAAAAGATCAGTCAAGGGCTTTCTGCATAATTATTTTATTTTCTTCCACAGGCGGAAACCTCCAGTTTGTGGCAGAAGAACTTCTCTTTAGAATAGAAGACTATGGTAGCACGTTACAAAATGACCATTTTTTGTGGTGTCATTTTTAAAACCAGGGGATCATATTAGAGAGGAGGAGCAGGAAGGAATGACCCAAATTTAACAATTTCTATTTTTGGCAGTTGTAATTATAAGGCCGACTTTGCACAAATTATTAGAAAAGCTTGGACTGTGGTGTGTTGTGGTGCCATTATTTTGAAGGGTGCCCCAGTGCACCAAAGGAATGCCTCTCCAACTCACCTGTGTGTACCAAAAATGGTGAAGGTGCAATTTTAGGTTTTGTTGTGGTGCATTGGCAGCCCCTTTCACCTCAAAGGGTTGCCTTAACAAGCATTATAATAGTAATAGTTAAAGTGGTACTAAAGGTTTGCTTTTTTGGGGTGGAAAATAACAAACATATCTATACTTACCTGCTCCATGCAGTGCTTTTGCACAGAGCAGCCCAGATCCTCCTCTTCTCGTGTCCCCTGCCAGTGCTGCTGGCTGCTCCTTTGTATTGGGTGCCCCCATAGCAAGCAGCTTGGCGGCACCCAAACAGGCATGTTCCCAAGCTGTAGCTCCATGTGTCCATTCTCACAGGAAGCGATGGCTTGGCATCGCCCTCCTCCCCTCATTGGCTGAATTACTGTGATTGACAGCAGTGGGAGCCAATGTCTCCTGCTTGCTGTCTCAGCCAATGAGGAGACAGAGACCCAGGACAGCTGGGGTGTTGTACACATTGACAGATCGTGATGGGGCTCAGGTAAGTATTGAGGGGGCTGGGGGCACTGCTGCACACAGAAGGTTTTTTAATAGTTAAAGTGGTACTAAAGGTTTGCTTTTTTGGGGTGGAAAATAACAAACATGTCTATACTTATCTGCTCCCGTCAGTGGTTTTGCACAGAGCAGCCCAGATCCTCCTCTTCTCGGGTCCCCTGCCTGTGCTCCTCCTTTCTATTGGGTGCCCCCATAGCAAGTTGCTTGTTATGGGAGCACCCGAGCAGGCATGTTCCCAAGCTGTAACTCCGTGTGTCCATTCACATACAATGCTTGGCTCCGCCCTCCTCCCCTCATTGGCTGAATGGCTGTGGTTGACAGCAGTGGGAGCCAATGTCTCCTGTCAATGAGGAGACAGAGACCCAGGACAGCCAAGGGTGTTGTGCACATTGATGGATCACGATGGGGCTCAGGCAGGGGCGGACTGACCATTTGGAAACTCGGGCACTGCCCGAGGACCCGGGGTCAGTAGGGGGCCCCATGAGATGCCCCTGGTACCTTTTTCATAGGCTTTTTTGAGTTTGGGCAAGGACACAGGGGCCCCATGATCCCCTATTGCCCGGGGGGCCCCATGAGTTGTCAGTCCGCCCCTGGGCTCAGGTAAGTATTGAGGGGGCTGGGGGCACTGCTGCACACAGAAGGTTTTTTACGTTCATGCATAGCCTTTACAACCACTTTAACGCACTGCATAGGACTGCACAGGCAGAAAGAAGGCCTAAAGGGTTCAATGTCTGTACGCTTTTGTTCTTTTTTTTTTTTTTTACTTTATTTAGTAAAGTAGGATCATTTAATTTGTTCACCAGGGAAATCTGCCAGGTTGCCATTTATCATTACATTTTACATTTTTTTCCTTTTATCCTATATTTTATTCATATACAGTACATTTATAAAAAGGTACAATCATATTCTTGTATTACAGCACCTTCCACTATAATGTTATTCTGGAAGGGCAGCTGTGTTTGCCATGTTTTCCAAACATATGTTAATTTAGTCTATGTACTTGTGCACACTGGACATTTTTCTATCTCTCCTGGACGTCTTTCCACCTGGTAGCGGCATTTTTGCAGAAAAAAAATGATTGAGGGTTGTAAAAGTGTGTAACACAATTAGCTGCATTTAGCCAAGTCAAACGTGGGCAGTAATTAGTTTCATTGGCTAGAAAAATAATTTATTAATGAATGCTCAATCTCTAAACGCGTCCTCAATGCTGAGAAATACAGGCAGATACTTATCCATCATGCCATACCATCAGGGAGATGGGTGATTGGTCCCAAATGTATTCTGCAGCAGGACAATGACCCCAAACATGCAGCCAATGTCATTAAGAACTATCTTTAGTGTAGAGAAGAACAAGGAGTCCTAGAAGTGATAGTTTGGTCCCCGCAGAGACCTGATCTTTAAGTCTGTCTGGGATTAGATGAAGAGACAGAAGGATTTGAGGCAGCTTACATCCACAGAAAATCTGTGGTTAGTTCTCCAAGATGTTTGGAACACCCTGCCTGCCAAGTTCTTTCAAAAACTGTGTGCAAGTGTACCTAGAAGAATTGAAAAATTGATGCTGTTTTGAAGACAAATGGCGGTCACACTAAATATTGATTTGATTTGTATTTCTTTTCAGTTCATTTACTTTCCATTTTGTTAATTGATAAAAATAAACTATGAATACTTCTATTTCTGAAAGCATTCTTAGTTTACATCATTTTTT